AAGAGTCTGAGGACATTAGGTGTAATTATTTGATGAAAGGATGTTCTTGACTTTGAGACTTTATTTAGCTTTCATGCTTAATGTGAGCTGGTGTTCCTTTTTCTGATTGTTAGCTGATACTTCAATAGTGCTGTCTCTATATTTAGACTCTTCATGAAAAAAGCAGAAATATAAGTCATCTTTGTGACTTGTCATTATCAGTAATATTGGAGGCAAGATTTTGGTGTGCTTTTCTGAGTCTCTAGGACCCTCACATTTTGTAACTAGCAATGGCCTCCCATTCATTTCCCTGCACTGATGCTGTCTGGGATCAGCTCATCACCCATGAGAATGTCACCAGTACAGCAAGAGGCTAAGAAACATCAGGGTGTCAGAACCAGTGAGCAGTGCATGCTCAGAGTTGTCTGCACTTGGCACAGTCACCGTTCTGTGATGTCTTGGTTCCTCCTCTGTTTTGTAGCCTGGCATCTTGGCCTTTAACCAGCAGCCCAGTCCCCGACCTGCCATGCCGAAGTCCCCATCCTGCAGTCGCTCACTGGCACCCGACCCGCCTCTTGATTTTGATTGCCCATTCTTTTGATTTCTGGTCGTCATATTGTCTGTTTACCAATCGATACAAACAGCTCTCTGGCTCTCCCCTCAGCTCCTTCCTCTCCCAGGGATGTGATAGAATATCTGGTGCAACAAATCCCTGTTTTCCAGAACATTTCTCGTTCAGAAGAACTTCTATCCATTCCATCCCATTTGATTCTTTGGGTCAGCCTGTCGTGATCATCAGGGCATGAGGATATTTAGACATTATTTTTCCCCCTGCTTCAGTTTGCAATCTCACATGACTGTTTAATCTTAGTTCAAGTAAATATTAAGATCAAAGACAATTTGCAGGGGCTGGAGACCTAGTACAGGACTTAAGGCACTTGCTTGCATCCTCCAACTGGGGTTCTGTCCTCGGCACCACTTATGGGCTCTAGAACACCACTAAGAGTGATCCCACCCAAAAGGAGAGAGAGAACAAAAGGGAATGCCCTGCCACAGAGGCAGGGGTGGGATGGAGGGATGGAGGGTGGGAGGGATACTGGGATCAGTGGTGGTGGAGAATTGGCACTGGTGGAGGGATGGGTACCCAATCATTGTATAACTGAAACTCAAGCACAAAAATTTGTAAGTCTACAATTATACCTCATGGTATTTCACTAATAAAAATAAAAAAAACAAAGAGTGATTCCAGAGCCCACAGCCAGGAATAGCCCTTGAGTGCTACTGGGTATGACCCAAGCCCCCCACCCTAAACCCAATGGTTTCCAGGAGTAGCTAATGTGCTTTATTTTAAGGGCACTGTCTTGGAGCCAGGTGCTATGGAATGGGTGACATACAAACCCTGCTCTCCATGACCAGTCCTTCTTTAAAAATTTTTTTAATTGAATCACCATAAGATAGTTACAAAGGTTTCATGATTGAGTTTCAGTCATACAATGATTGAACACTCATCTCTCCACCATTGAGCATTTTCACAACCAATGTCCACAATATCTCTCCCACCACCCCCACAACACCCCCTGCCTCTGCGATAGGCACCTTTCTCCTTACTCTCTCTTCTTTGGGGTATTATGGTTTCCAATACAGATACTGAGAGGCCATTGTGTTTGGTCCCTAGCATACTTTTGGCACACATCTCCCATTCTGAGTCATCCTTCCAACCATAATTGACTTAGTGGTCCCTTCTCCATCACAAATGCCTTCTCCTTCAGCACATGGCACAGCCTTCCAAACCACAGAGCGATCCTTCAGCCAGTCCTTCTTACGGGGGAAGTGATAGGCTGCTTGAACATGGAACACCTTTATATTTGTCTCCATTTGTACCATCTTTTAATTTTTTTTGTTTTGGGGGCCATACTTATAAGTGTTCAGGGTTTCTGGCTCTGTTCTCTGGTATCCATTTCTGGCATGGTTTACCCTCCCTATGGGGTCCCAGGGCTCAAACACTGGTTTGTCAGGTGCAAGGTACCTTACGTGCTGTACTATTATTCTCTTCCCATCTTCAATTGTATTTTCAGCCCAGTCTTGTGGTTTTGTGCAGGTATTTTAGTTATTTCGCAAAATGTATTTTCAGATTTTAAAATACTGTTTTTATTTTTTAAAAAAAATTAGTAGTGCTTTCTTTAATTTTTCTTTTCAGACATTATATCATTATTATAAAGGGATGTGGCAAAGTGCTTCGTTTGTTGATTTTCTATTCTCTAACTTGACTGAAATCATTGATTAGTTCCAAGTTAATTTTTTTGTTTACTCTTTGGGGTTTTATTTAAAGAAGTTGAGACCATCAGAAAATAAATAACAATTTTTTCTTTCCAATTTAGATCCTTTCATTTCTTTGTGTTGCTTGATTGTTCTAGTGAGGACTTCTCGTACCATGTAGAACGGGATTGGCAAGAGTGATGAATGCTTTGTTCCTAATATTAGAGAAAACACTTTCTATTTTCCTCCATTGATTACAGTGTTAGCCATAGGCTTTCAAGAGTCTTTGAATTATGAACCTGGACGTGCCCGTGGCCTGCAGCTAATCTGTTTCCTGGGTAGCTCTGTCCAAGCTGCTTTTCTAAACACTCCTTTCACTTTAGCACGAGTGCTTAGGCTACCATTTGTTTCAGACAGTAAAATTAGAGCCAGAGAGAAAGTGAAGGGGTAGAGATGCAGGCCTTGCATGCAGCCAACTCTAGTTCCATCCCTCATTAACTGAGCACCCTGGGGCCAGCCCTGATTTCAGGTACCCTGGGGACTAAGGAACATAGCGTCCTTGGTTCCTTACATTGGATTGCGAACTCTGTTGGCTCAGAATGGTTTGAGGGGGTCCTCAGGACCCCCTGAGCATAACTTGGGAGCCTCCCCCACACAAAGAAAGCTCTTGTATACATGCTCTTGTATACATATATTACACACACACACACACACATATATATGTATGTGTGTGTGTGTGTGTGTGTGTGTGTGTGTGTGTGTGTGTAATTCTCACCTCTTGAAAACTTGCAGGATTGCACTTAGAGCTCATTTGGTATTTCCTCTCTCAAGTGGCTAACGAATCAAGTCTGAGGTTCTTTCTTCCTACTTAATGAGATTTAAAGCTCTGGAAGTGTAAATTCCAATAAACTCCATGGAACCACCAGAATAGTCTCTTGCAACAACAAGGTTTTCAGCTCACTGACTTGACAAGCTTCCGTGTGGCATCAGCCAAGGTTCTGCAGTGTTTGCACACAGCCCTTGCAGAATCTAATTAAGCCAAAGAAAGATGCTCTTGCGGTCCGTAGAAGGCTTAGTTGGAAACGCAGACTGTCCCCTTTGTGAAGCCCAAGCACTGTCTACACAGCACCGGGGTGTTTTCCCAAATGCTAGCCGCTAACTCTAGGGAGCCACCACAGCTTGATGTTCCTGATGTTGTCAGGAGAATTGGCTCTGGTTTGCAATCACTGTTTCGTTTTCACAGGGGGCTGGAGAATGCCGACTGCGCAGTGGAACCAGTGCCTGGGCTCAGAGCTGCAATGTTGGTTCACTGTATAGGGCACAGACATGCAGCATGAGTGACCCATTGCCGAGCACTGCTGAGGGAGGAGTGGGGCAGTTGCCGCTGATGCAGACATTCACGGTTCTAGAGAAACAGCCCACGACCTGCAGTCTTGTTTCTGTGCCTTCTAAGCAGAAATGGGCTGACAATGTTTTGTTTGGGGGCCATACTATGCAATGCCCAGGACTTACTCCTGGCTCTGTTCTCAAGGAGCATCCTGGTGGGTCTCAGAGAACCAGATGGGAGGCTGGGCATGGAACCATGGAACCCTGGATGGACCGTGTGCAAGACAAGTAGCCCTGATATCAGTGACTGAGTTCTAGTCAAATGGATAGCCTCTTCTTTCCAGAGCACTTCAACCTGAGACCTGGACTCACCTGGCAACCCGCCCATGGGCCTCCTGCACACCATCACTATCCCTGAGAAAGAAAACGAGCCTCAGGTCTCCCCAGTTCCTCTAATGGCAGGAATTTCTATTCTTGGAGTTGAAACAGTTGGAGCCAGAGAGCAAGTACAGGGCTAAGGAGTTTGTCTTGCATGAGACTTATCCAAGTTTGATCCCCAGCATTACCTATGATCCCCCAAACAGGTCAGGAGTGACCCTTGAGCACCGAGCCAGGAGTTAACCCTGAGCACTACTGGGTGGGACCCCAAAACTATAAAAAAAACATTTTGTTTATTGATTTTCTATCCTCTAACTTGACTGAAATAACTGATTAGTTCCAAGTTAATTCTTTTGTTTACTCTTTGGGGCTTTCTTGAAAAAAGATGAGACCATCAGGAAATAAATGACAATTCTTTCTTTCTTTCCAATTTAGATCCCTTTTATTTCTTTGTGTTGTCTTGCTAACGTGCTGTTTTTGAGCTTAGAAGATTTAAAGCCTGTGACAAATATCTGTATCTGTCCTTAAGCTGTAATAATAACAGGAAATCATGCTTCTTATTCTTCTTTGGCAGACATGCTCCCTATTATCTGCTCAGCTGAACTCTCTCTCAGAATGGTAGCTAAGTGACCAGGGGTGAGTGAAGAACTTGAACATCAAACCAAGTTTGATGCTGTTTATCACAAGGATTTGTCTTCCTAGCAGAACTGACATTCAATTGCTTACACGATTTCTTCAATTTTATCTTTCTGTCTTTCCCATATAGTCACTTGGGATCATATTGCAAAGTCCCATGTCCCAGCAGAATACCAGTGTCTAAATGTCCTGTTTGCCTATTAAACAAGGAAAAACCACCCATTCCTTGAGAATTAGAGACCACCCAAATAGGTAGGGCTAAGATCGAAAGTACAAGGCGAGTTCCAAAGAAAAAACCACCTCTTTGCTACATGCACTGGAAGTGCTGGTTCACGAATAATTTGGAGACCAAGAGTGAGTTGCCCTCGTTCTCTTGCTGGCACAAGGTATTAACATAAACGTATGTTTTCATTCTTTCTCCACAGTAAAACCCACTGTGATTGATGTTGACATCTATGTGAACAGCATTGGGCCCGTCTCGTCAATTAACATGGTAAGAAGCTGGTTTTCGATCTTTCCTTGGGCTCTTGCTTATGATCGCCTTGTGGGTTCCTGCTCGAGGCTTGTCAGGCAGGTAGAGACCTCACCATTGTCTTCTTTTCCCGTTATTTAAATATGGAAGGTGGTAAAAATCAAGATGCAGAGTCGAGTTTCTAGTGATGGCACTGGTGAGGATTTGAACCAAACCCTCAGGCTTGCTGTGCACAGATGCAGACATGACACTGTCTGCCATTCCATAGGTGTTGGGATACCTGACTCAGCTCCTCCTAGGAAATAATCTTAGTGCTCACCTTTGCACTTCCATTTTATCCCCGAAGACCCGAGAGCCACACCATCTGTGTCTCATGACTTGAAAGAAACCCGTTTCTTCTTCTGCTGTCTTGCTTTGGAGTTCTGACAACCAATAAATAGCCTTTTGGTCACAGGAAAAAAGGCATGGGGTGAAAGTCATGTTGTGTTCCAGTTGGGTTGTGCTAGAGACTTAGGAGAAAATGAGCTCCGGAAGAAAGAGATTGTTTGCTCCCTGAGTGATGGCCTTGGCTCATGCTTTATGCTTGGCTGTGAGTGCTTATTGCTGGAATGTGCCACTGAGAGGGGCTCAGGTGAGGGGCCGTGAGTGAATGCCTCCACTGTAGGGCAGGCCCCTGCAGTCACCTCACTTTGGGGTGTCTGGACTACTGGTGCTGGAGGCTTTTCTGCAGCCCTAGTGCCCTCTGGCTCCTGGACCTGGGAGTTGTGTGGGCAGATGCTGGTCTGCACATGCATGGTCATGTGTTGTGCATGCAGGTGACCCCCCACCCCACCAAAGCAGGAACAAATGCAGAAGCATTTCTTTTTATTGACAGATTAAAAGTTCTCTCTTTCTCTCTTTGGTTAGTGGGCCTCACCCATGGTGCTCAGGGCTTACTCCTAGTTCTGTGCTCAGGGGTCAAGCCTAGTGGTGCTTGGGATACAAACGGGGTTGTCCTTATCCTCACTCTGATCTCTCCAACCCCAACTGTGTATCTTTTCTCTGCCCATACCAAGGTTTCATGGATGGAAAAAAATCACCTTTATGGGTGGCTCATGTTTTAAAACAATGTAAAAGTAAGATAAAACTAGCCAGCCAGGAGGTGAAATGGATCAAATAGAATTGGCTTCATCCAACTTAAGGACTGTAAAGGCAATAGCAGTTCCCCTCCCTGACAGTTCTTCAATCTGACCTCATGATAGAATGAGCCCCTAGAAGTCACTTTTGTTCTCTGATTCTGGAGTTTTATTTCCTGATGTTGTTTTGTAAAATCTTACTCAACACCTGTAGATCTACCTGAATATAACTGAAACACACTGGAATACATAGCTACAGTCTGTTTTGCTATAGGTGCTCACATTTGTATGGGGGAGGGGAGGTCCCATCACTCTATCACCATAAGATTTCTTGTATGGAGTATCAGCTCTCCTGGGAATTGTAAGCTGCAGAGGAGGTAGAGTGAGTGGCCATGGCAAGTTTTTTGCTGTGGATCCGTCCTCCTAAACCTGTGAGTTCTGTCTCCCCTATTCCTCCTTCCAGTGTCTCTGCTTCTTACATCTATATGGTTATTACTAAAGACACCATTCCAAGCATTTTCTCTGTTAAATAAACAAGAAATTGCATTTTTCTTTTTCTTTTTCTTTTTGGCTCGTGTCCAGTGATGCTCAGGGGTTTACTGGCTCTGCACTCAGGAATTACTTCTGGTGGTGCTCTGGGATGCTGGGGATTGAATCTGAATCAGCTGCATGCAAGGCAAACGCCCTCCCACTGCACTATTCTCCAGCCCTGTATTTCTTATATTGTTCAACCCTTGTCTCTACCTTGTTCATCCTGAAGGAGAATTTTCTTTTTCTAGTGATCGAGAAGATTGGAAGCACTTTAGGGACTGCAGAAGAATCTTGTTTCCCACCCAGTTTTAGTCATGGGCTGTGTTTGTCACTGTGAGGCTGTCTTTGCCATTGTAGGTATCTGAGCACGTACAGTTCTGCTGAGCAACTGTGTGTGCTGGCTTCAAGAGCGGAGAGGCCGCAGCCAATGGAACTTGGAAGTTTGTTTCTAAGAATATAGGAAAGGAGCAAAAGGAACAAAAGGAACCTAGGTATACTCCCTCTATTTGCTCTCACCCCAATCTCCTTGATCTATGAGTGAGAGTTAAGAGGGAGCCCTTGGCCTCTTAGCTGTCTTGAGAAAGCAGAGTATCTTTTGGGGTGGGGTTGGGAGGGGGAGTGAAGTGGCAGGCTGTAGCCCCAACACTGGTCAAGAGGGAATGTGCCACAGCACTGGGAGCAGTACAGCTCTAACCGGGAGTGTGAGATGCAGAGGACAGGGTGGAGTCTAGTGTTACATGGCTTGTCTTTCAAAAAACACGGATTAGTAGGTTTTGTTGTTATGATGGTTTCTTTTGGTCCAGTTTTATCGCCTTGCAATCAGCATGTCACATTATACGTGTTTAAAGAGTGTAAGATGGAAAAAAAAAAAAATAAAGAGTGTAAGATGGTAATTGGAATTAGACACGTGTTGAGAAATGAAGCCTGCCTTAAGGTAAGTGAATGCATCTACCCCTTCACTAAGTTCCTGTGTTCAGAATTTTTAAGATCAGGTTGCTGGGGTGATAGTACACCGGCAGGGCAAGTATTTGTCTTGCTCTGATGCACTTTGCTCAGCCCAGTGGCTGCCAGTCCTTTCCCTGAAACAGCGAACTGCAGAATTTCATCCCTTCTTTTTCAAAAAGCTTTATTTAAACACTGTGGTTTATAAAGTTGTTCGTAATACAGTTGTTTCAGACATTCCAACCCCAACCCCACCACCAGTGTGACCATCCCTCCACCATTGTCTCAGTTTCCCAACCAACTCCTTGGGAGGTACAAAATGATTTAATTTATATTGCTTGTTACAATGAAATGATAAATGGAATTGTAAAATAACAGTTTGGTGAAAGAAAGTTCATAAAACTGTTTGGCCTCACAATGGGGTCGTTAAAGTCATTGTCTGAGGGTCTGCTAAGCCGGTGCTGGTTGAGCCTTCTATGTTACTGCTTTTGCTTACCGAGCTTAGTCGGATTCTGTGCTACTTTCCCACTGAATTCGCTGTGTTCCTTCTGGGCTGTCAGTATTGTGGAATTGGGGGTGTCACACAGCTGCATACGTGGCCACACACGGTCCAGGAGCTCCAAGATCTATTTGAGAGTTTTGTCGTTTGGGCATCTCTTAGGAGATTAATTGTGAAGCAGCGGAGTTGGGCCCTTGTATGGCAGTGGCTGTCAGTTGTGGGTGTGGCCACTGGGACTTGGCAGCGTGGGGACCCCGGGTGCCCCAGAGTCTTCGCCCTTAAGATCAGTGTTGCTGTGAGTCTCAGCTGCAGCGTGGCTTGCATCTCTTCTGAGATTAGTCCTGAGCTGTCCCCGTGGTGGCAGCTGTGGGTGTGGCTGCTGGGCTTCATCTCTTCCTGTGGCTGATGCAGTTTCCTGCCAGGGCTACAGCTTCTTCATTCAATTATTGCACTTGGTGGTGGTGGTGGGGGTACTCCAGATCTTGGCTACTCTGAGTAGTAGGACAGTGAGCAGAGGAATGCAAGTGTCCTTTGGAATTAATGTTTGGGAGCTCCTGAGATAGATGCCAACTAGTGGGATCTCTGGGTGAACTGGAATTTGTATTGTATTGCATTTTTGTTCCATTGAGAAGTCCCCATGCTAGGGATTGTACCAGGTGACAGTCTTGGTGCCCCCTCCCCACACATGTCCAGCCTTGCCCTTCAACATCACCACCCACAACATGCTCAGAAATGTTGCCCCGGGATGGGGAAGACAGGTGGATATCTAGATGAGCCTGGGCTGGGGGACCTGCCAGTCCACCACCATTGCCTGAGCAACATTCTCGGTGGCCCCCAGTTGTCTATAGGACCCTGACTCCTCACAGGGGGCTGCCTACTACTTTCCTTTGTCCATGATTTAAAATCCTGCTAAGCATAGAAGTAGGATGAAACTCAAGGCTGTACTCTGGGGCAGCTCTGGTGGGCTTGGTTCCCTTATGTAGAACACATAATTCCAAGTCACAGATAGGCAAGGGAAACAAGAGTACAAGCATGCCTGGAGTGCTAGAGAGAGAAAAACGTATGTGGGTGGGCTTTGTGCACCCCCGCCCTGGGACACCATCCTTGCATTTTTATAAGCCAAGAGGCACAAAGGGGAAATTAGATTTTATAATACCAAAGAGGCTCTTCCCGAACTTCCTCCCCACAGTTAATTTTCCCGGTGATTTGCAATCACTCACCTTTTGTTTCTTGACTCTCCTCATGTCCCCATCCTTCTCTTGCATAACACCCACATCTAAAGATAGACTCATCCTGGGAAGCTGGTGAGGAAATGAAAATGAATTGGAGCTCTCGAAGGAAGGGATGAAATGCGGCTTGCCCCCACCTGGGATTTCAGAGGTCTCAAGGAGTGATCTGGAGAGAGGCGTGTGAGGAGGGAAGCAATTTGGATTCAAGAATATGGAAGGAATAGGGATGGCATCCCAAAGCCCACTTCCAGGCCTTCTCCCGGAATCCTCTGACCTCTCATGGGAGCTGGCCTGTCTGTGATGAACAGAAGGATGAGAAGACTTCCAGGATTTCCATGCATTTCAGTCCTTCCAGTCTTCCCATGCATTTCAAGCCATATTTGCTGTCTGGAAGCTTTCTTATCAGTCTTGGTCACACTTTCCTGTTCTCTCTCCCCTTTGCAGTGCTCCTGTGGGTTTTGGTGGGGCTGGGATGGGCTCAGACACTTGCCTTGCATCCCACTGATCCCATCACAGAGTGCGGTCCCCCAAGCACCACCAGGGGTCACTTCTGAGCACAGGGTTAGGAGTAGGTCCCTGGGCCCCATTGGCAATGGGTCCAGATAAATTACTAAGTCTGCCTCATGTTAACCTTAGAAAAATTGAAATCCTGGGTTGTGTATCTTCCGAGCTTTTGTAACCCATGTCACAAAAGCATCTGCTATG